CACCTCCTTACAAATTTGTGTAGGAGAGAACCAGTGGAGAACAGCGATTTCATGTTTCTCCTGCTTCTGACGAATTAGAAAGTCCGGGCCCTAAATGCATGGCTGGAAACTCGAAGCCCAAAGGACGGACCAGCTAACTTCTCACTAGACTATTTTACCCATTAGCTGTGAAGACACAGGGCTCAGGCCTGTGAGCATTTCAAAAGTCTATGGAAATAAGAGATCTGTCAGCCAAATTTATCAGCTTCCAAATCTAAGAATAAAACTGTAAATGCAAAATCAATGAATGTTTAAGTAAATGGTTTATATAAAATGTAACATTATGTCAAATTCATTGTTTTTTTAATATAATGTTTAAATATAATATTCATAACAAAATTTACTGCATTTGCAGTGTGTAGAGCAGATTTTCTCACTGTGCAAGAATTCTCAAGGATGTACAATGGTTGCTGAGAAATCATTGTCAATGGTAAGTTAAATGTTACTCTGTCACAGAATTCCAGAAGCAATTTATTAAATTATTATTTTACTGACAAAACAATAACAATTAATGTACAATGAGGAGTATAGAATAGGGATTCCCAAACAAGAATGCCTAGGATTCAGGAAAACCTAAAAGCAGCTTGGGTCACTCACTGGCCAAACCAACAAGTAAAAACAGAATCTCTTAAAAGACAAGATTTTTCATTTAACCAGCATTGCCACCTCCACCTCATGAGTCATCTTTCTTTGATAAAACCCTTCAGACCTATTTTCTCACTCTATCTTGATAACATCCTTGCAAGGTCATTAAGGAGTAGCTAGTTTTGTCCTAGGGTAATTAACTAAAATACCAGGATTTGGGGTAAACATGAAAAGGTGGCAAGTATTTGCCAACCTACAGGACAGCCCTATGGATGGAAGGCAGTGGGTGTGGCTTAGAAGAGAACAGAAGGCAATTCTTCCATTTTTAGGAGAAAAGGGGTCTCCTGATATAGGTAAAAGGAAAAGAGAAACACAGTCGCAAGGAAGTACAGACTGAGCAAAAAAGGGCAAAACAACAAAACGGTTTACAAACCACAGAGAAAAGCAGAGAGCTGCAGAGTGACTCAGCAGCTGTGGGCTTGGTCGAAACAGTGTCCCCGTGCAGGGCACAGCAGCCATCAGCTGACAGAGGAACAAGGGAAGTAAATAAAGTGGCGAGGGGCCCAGCAAGCACCAAGGTGGCAGTCGGTGGTTTGGAGCCACTTGCTACAGTAGCTGGGGGAGGTGCAGAAGATCTGTGTGCACAGGTGGGACCCTCTGCAAGGTGGCAGATGTGTCCTCAGTGGAAGTCTCTGCCTGAGGCTCGGCATGGCTCAGACAGCACTTGTTGGAGGGGCAGGAAAGCATGGTGGGTTGTGGGGAGCCCCAACTGTGGAGTTGGCACTGCCTCGGTTGGTGGAATCCTGGCTCTGCTGCTCACTGGACAACTCCCCCAGCTCTCTCTGCCACTGGGCCCCCATCTGTAAAATGGGGACTGGTAATAGTACTACCCTGAAGGATCACTGTGAGGACGAACTCAGTATGTGAACGCTCTTGTCATGATTTTGGGGGGCTGAAAACAAGAGTTTAAGGAAAGATATATAAGTACTCCTCACCTATAGCCGGGAAATGCCAAAAGGAAGACTAACCCAGGGAACACAATGGTGGCCGTGCAAAACTTGCAACGGTGGTGTTCTCAGGGTTGTCTGATAGCCTTTGAAAGCCTACTATGTACCAGGCACCATTCTAAACACTTTACGTGTGTTACTTTATTTAATCCCCACAAGAATCATGTGATTAGCTCTCTGGAGAGATGAGGAAATTGGAGCTTGAGGAGGTAGGATGACTTGTGTTGCCCAAGGTCAGCAGGCATCAGAACCCAGATTGCAGGCTGCCACGCTTGACCACTGCACAAACCATTTCTTCCAGGCCTGGTTTCTGCACACACCTGCACAGCCTCCTCAGGTCTTTTCCAGGTTGTCCCCTCCCTGTACCTGAAACTTGGTGGGATCGCACTGGAAGACTGCATGCTTCCACCTCTTGATAAATGGCAAAACATCCCTAACACTGGTTTGTAGTTTTGCATGAAACTGGATGCATTTTCATGCCCACCATGAAAGAATATCCAGCTAGCTTCAAGGGAGCCACTGAATATAACCCAAGAAAGCTATTTCATGGGAAGATCATTTAAATTCATTAGAGGAGCCATGTTAAATTCCCAGTCATTCCAATGGGACATAAAGCAGCTGTGTTGCTTATAACTGATCTGTGACATGAGACTGTGAAAACACACTTTTCTCAGCAGGAGAAATGATGTCCAAAGTGCACATCAAATAGATATTTGGGATTGAGACTTCGGGATGCTGATACCAACTTGGACGTTCATACTACATGATGGACTCTTCCCATTGAAAATGATTACATAGTGTTTGTATCATACGAAGAGCAAAGGCAGCAATTTTTAAGTGATGAAGGATTTATTTATCAGAGAATGAAAAAATAGAATCAAACAGAAGCATTCTTGTTAATAGAAAGATACAAGACATTCTGGTTTCAGGAGGAAAGGCCACACAAATGCAACTGACACAGGCCTACGGACAGATGGAGAGAAATAATTCATAATAAAATAATTCATTATAAACTAAGTAAAATAAATCTTTATGTCACTGTACTGCAAATCAAAGGTTGGGTGCTGCCATTTTCCCCAGGCCCAATAAGAATGGTCTTAGTGGTAAATGCAGTCCTTTGCTCACGATGCCAGTGTTGCTGGCCTGTGATGTTCCAGAACCTTTTCCCAGGCCTGTGATAGGTTTCCAGTCTCCTTGCTCTGAGTCCAGGTTGCTCTGCCTACAGCGAGCACCCCCAGGTTGCTGGGCACAGGAGAAGCTGTGCGGCCCTGTGAGAGCTGGTGCTCTGCTTGGGGGCAAGCGACTCTTTTTGGCCTCATTTTCCAAATAAGCCAAGCAGTACCTTTGAGCTGGGAAATCACAGGCATGTGGATATATATTTCATGTAGCCAATTTGTGGGAGTGAAAAGTCCAGTTTGGTCATGTTTGGTGCAGCTTGACTCTTGGCTCCTCTTCTTTCCTGGTCTCAGATTCATCTGCTGAACCTAAACAGCTGTTGAACTGAATGGAAATCCTTCCTTTCTATTCTCACAATCCCCGTTTTCCAAGACCTCCCTCTTACCTTCATACTTAGCTGGGGACAGTGTGGGTCAAGAATACAGTAACAGACTATGGAGACAGGCAGGTTTCAAGTCTGGTCTCCCTTCATATTGGCTGTGTGACTCAGAAGTCACTTAACTTCTCTGGACCTCTGATTTCTCATCTGTAGGATGGAGATAATAACCTCCCAGGGCTGTTAGGAGGCACGGAAGGGACCACAGCCATAAACACATTATATGGGGGAGGGGGTAGGGGACATTTTATGGGGTGGAAGCTGTTTGATTGTTATTTCACATCATTGTATGAACATTCCCAGAGTGCAGCAGCTTCCAACCTTTTCTTCTTTCTAATCTATCCTGAGCATTGCTGCCAGATCAGTCTTCCTGAAGCACTACTGATAATAATCATCTCAAAACATAGTCATTATTTTTATTCGAATGGTTAAGTGCCACTTGCAAATGGAAAGCTGAGCAGACATGTGAGGAGGGACCACAGATGCAAGACACATAGGCACAGTTGATGCTGACATAAGAGAGAACAGCCCGTGGCTCCATGATCTGGACATTGCTGTAGCTACCTGTGTCTTTCTCTCCACTGACCAGAAGTGTCCTGAGGCCAAGAACTACATCTTGTTATTCCTGGCACTCACGTAGTCAACACATAATTATTGAGCACCTGGTCTGGGTCCTGGGCTAGAGCAGCAAATAAAAGTCTCCTGTAACTGCTTGGCTGCTTAAAAAATATTTACTGAATTTATTAATGTTAACCAAAATTTAATGTCAAAGATGCAGATGCTCAACAATGATGATATTTTGTGTCCTCTCTTGTGGGGAATACACTGACTGAATTTAAATTTTTCCATTTTCAACCCTATTTTGGCCTCAGTGTTTAGAAAATATACATTCCAGCTTGCGCTTGCAACATGCCTGTGACATCTTGGCATCATTTGAATTTGCAGCTGAGAATATGTAGCATGTGCTATGAATTTCTGAGGCTGATGCCAGCACAGCTGGTTCTGATCTGAATACAAACAAATAAAACAATTTGGTTGGCACCGAAATGTGAGGACAGGTGATCATCCTTCACAAGGGACTGGTGACAAATGGTCCCATTAAGAATCTGCACTTTCTTCTATAATCTAAGTTCAGAAACAGACCATCCAAGAAGATCCTAAATTTGATATTTTTTGGTTGTAATTAAGGTTCTCTTTTAAAAAATATTTGTTATTTTATCTGCTTGTGTTATGGGCTGACTTGTGTCCCCCTCAAATTCATATGTTTAAGTCCTGACCCCCAGTACCTCGGAATGTGATCTAACTTGGAGATGGGGTCTTTACAGAGGTAGTCACGTTAAAGTGAGGTCACTGGGCTGAGCTCTGTTCTGATATGACCAGTGTTCTTATCGAAGGGGGGAATTTGGATACAGAGAAAGACACGTAGAGAGGGAAGATAATGGGAAGAGACACAGAGAGAATTTGGCCAGGTACAAGCCAAGGAGAGTCCCCGGATGGATCCTTCCTTCCCAGCCCTCAGAAGGAATGAAGCCTGTCACCGTAACCCATGATCTCAGACTTCCCGCCTCTGGAACCAGGAGACAATACACCTCTGTTGCTTAAGCCATCCCGTTCTGTGGTACTGTGTTACAGCAGTCCTAGAACACTATTACAGAGTGTATTTGCTTATAATGCTCTTTGCTGAAACTAAAATCTTAATTTATAACCCAACCCATTTTTTCCACTTAGGCAAATCATCTAGTGACACCTAAAACTAAAATTCATTCTGTTGAAGGAATTTCCCACCAATACAAGTTTACCTTTCAAAATAGCCACTGTCAAAAAGATAACTTTGTAAGCACAAAAATCAGCAGTATCTCACCTGGATTTGCAAGGCGGCTACTTGTTGGTCCAAGAATCTGATAAGGATCTATAGCACAAACAAAAGAAGTCAAATCCCAAAGACATCATCGTGATTTGGTATGATGTGATTTCGGGCATAATGCTGACTCGATTGTTTCCATATGTCAGAGCTGAAAACGTCCCCTACCCCGAAAATCACTGCTTCCACCTCCTGTATGTGATAAGATGTGACATCGGATCTCAGAGAAGCTTCGTGTTAGAAGCTTTCTAGTTGGTGGTGAGCTAGGATTTGGCTACAGGTTCAGAGCCCACTTCAACCCAGGATATAAATAGGACAAATGTGTGCTAAGTCCCCAGTTGGCCCTGGCACCATATTGGCTGTGTTGTTCAACCCACTACCACTATCAGCCTTTCACCGCATTTCCACACTGGACTTAACACAGAAGCTGATTTTGGTGCATATGACATGAAAGGTAAAATTAAAGGAGTTCATAGATCACAAAGCAGCAGTCTATGTGCAAGCAGTATGTTTTTCCCATATTTATTGCATAGGTTTCGGACATGCTTTAGCAAAATGTCAGGTCATCCCAATTGAGTAGATTGATGATTTGGCCCCCACCTTATATATGGAGCAGTTATAAAGAAGAAAAAATAGCATTAATTTCATTTAAAAAGTGACACATTTTAGAAATACTCTGCTGAGCCTATATTTTCTCTTATGACTATCGAGATTGTTCCTCAAACATACCTAACTGAGGACGTTGGTCTTCAGTTTTGGGCACTGTGGAAGGAGATGGTTGAGCAGCTGAAATTCAAAAATAAAAAAGATAATTAACTACAACTTATATTTGGCCACTAGTCTTTGATGCTGTTGTATAATCATTGTGTCAATTATTTTAGTTATTAACAATAGTTTTACTCTTATAATACGGAGCATCTTATGGTTAGCAAAAATTTTCCTTTCTAACAAAACCAAATGTCAACACTGTAACAAAGGAGGACATTTCCCATTTAAAACATTTATTTATACTCCACTTTTTCCAAAAGTTAAAAAAAATCAAGATGGTTTATAAAACATTAAAATGAATCATAGTCTAAAGAAAAGAGAATGCTACCAGGAAAACAAAATAAAGCCAGGGCTACTTTTAAACAGGGTCAAGATTAGAGAAATCACCAATTATTTAATCTGTACTCAAACATCCTATGAAACATGCATTTGTCCATGCTGAAATACAGGACATGATTCATTTCTTTTTGTTTTGAAAGTAGGTATTACCCAAATAGAGAAAGAATCACTGCATTTAAAGATCAGTTGTGCTTTGTTCCCAATGGAACAACCTGCCACATGTTGAAAAACCACAGGTTAACTACAGAAATTATTATTTACTCCAGTAGTTATCCACTGCCTTGTAACATGCAGATTCCAGGCAGTGGGAGCCAACAGTGTACCTTTCGATGGGGGGGTGGGGTGGCCATGACCGGTCCAGGCTGATCTCCTGGGGGGCTCATAAGGTAAATCTGTAAAGACATATAAATTGACTAAAAGATCAATAATATAATTCTTAGAACAGATGTTTTGTTTTATACTTTATTTTGTGTTTATTAGAATAAATATTGTGCAAAAATCTAGTAATCCAAAGAAATATTCAATCTTGATTCCACTAAATTTGGGTTTTAAATACAAATTATAATTGTGTATATTTTATTGATCGGAAATTCTCACTCATTTATCTGAAAACTCCCATTGACAGATTCTCCCAGAGCTTGCTGAATTTTTTAAAGTAATTACCTACAATCACAGGTCAAGACCATAGTAAAAGTTCCTTACAATCTAATTTCTCCTGCTTCTAACTCTGACTGACCTAAACCTATCCTTTTATCCTCTTCATGGTCCGTCCAAAACAGAGCCCCACAACTTGGATGAATCAATCAATTCTTGTTCGAGGTCTGTCCCTAAATCCATCAAATTCATCCTCCTTTTTCTTCTCCCTTTTCCTTAGAAATGACCACTGTCTTCCCTCTTATTTGCCAGCTTAGTTTCCTGGTTATAATCTCATCCATTTATAGTCAATCTTAACTGGTCTAGTTATTTTCCTAGGCAAATGTCTACTCTTTCTCCTTTTCTAAATGAATTTAGAATTTCTCCTACATGAATTGCATAAAATGATTTACAGGACTGAAATAGTATTGCCCCCACAACACCTCACAATGACCTTCATAACTTGAGTATTTACAATGATTTCTTTGTATTTCTACCATAATATCACTTATCCCATAAACCTTCATTGCACTTTGCATATGCAAATCTAATAACTATACTTCTGTGTCCTCAATGTGAGTTCTATTAATGATTACAAAGACCCTAAGTCATTTCAAGTTTCTTTCAAACATATATTGCAGAAACATTATCATGCATGCTCCTTACTAACTATGCTTATGTAAAGCTATTTCTACATACAATCTTATTACAGAACCATTTCAGAACTTTGTCTTCTTCAACTGATAGGTCTCACTTCAATGTTGTGTGTCATTCTGGGCAAACTGAAGGCCACAGTCAAATACTTCAGCAGGTGTTCTGCTTCCAGACACCAGAGATGGCTATAAAATAGAGCAGGGCAATGTAATTATTTTTAAGTCTCTCTTTAAACAAATCATTTAACCTAGTTTAAAGCTGGAAATCTGATGGGTCAGTCTTCAAAGATCTCGAGTATGTTGCAGAAGATGTGTCTATTTTCACATCCCAAAGAGAAAAGAAATGATAGGCAACATGAAATTCGACACAGAACTGCCTTAATTTATTTGGTCTGTTTGGCTACAAGCATTGTGGCTGGTGTGGTCTGTGAAATCCTACCTCCCAGAGCTTTGGAGAGTTAGATAATTTTCCTTTTTAAACTGGGCTATTGCTCACCCCTCCCTTTCAGCTGGCATTTTCACATTTTGGGACCTTAAGCTTTTCCCACCCAGCTTCTCAAGGATTTTCACTTTCCTGGTGTTGGGGTTGCACATGGGAACTAAATCTGCAGCTACTATCAATTTACAACTAAATTTTAACTTAAGTCTCTGGGAGCCATTTTGCACACGAATTTTCAGCCAGTTACATCTTGTCTAAAAAACAGTTAGCCAGAGTTTCAATTTGAGGATTGTCTCAGAAAGAAAAATCTACTAGCAAGGCAATGCTAACAACATCAGGCCTAATTCAGGAGCAGATACGCACACCAGCAAACAGCTTCTATTTACTAAATGAAGAAGCAAGGTAATACAGAAATACATTCTAGATCCTTGTTTCTCAAAGTGTGGTCCCTGAACCAGCAACATCAGCAACACCTGGGAGCTTATTAGAAATGCAGAATCTTACCCCAGACCTACTGAATCAGAATCAACATTTTAACATGATCCCAGGGGGCTCACATTGAAGTTTAAGAAAGCCTATTTTAGAAGTTTCCATTGTCCTTTTTTAGGAATCTGTGTTCCTGCAGATAAAATTTTCAGAAATGCTATCTGGAGAATACCAATACAAATCAAAGATGGTTGAAAGAGTTTGAGATCGACTGCTTCTATCTGAGGTATAAGAAAGCTAATGTAACTAAGAGCAAGCATCAGTAGGTTAGTCAGACACTACCTTAAACAGAAAAGAATTGTTCATGAAATGTAACTAGAAAAAAATTAAACACTTGGTTACTACTACAAAAATATTTTGAAACTCTTTATTCATAAAGTCCTATCTAGGATGTATAACCATGTCCCAGCCTCTACTGAAAATAAGTGAAGACCTAAACAACACCAAATTAAGTCTACTTTTCAGCCAAGTATTCGAGATGTTTATATGAACAAATGATTAACATGTCCATAAACATACTGGCATGGAAGATAAGAGGGCTTTTGTTTTCTCCATGATATTCTGGTCCAGTGCTTCCTGATCAGCTACTGATCACATGCTGTGGGCACTAGGCCCCCTCCTACCGAGTGAAACACTAAGAAATGCTAAATTCAACCTTGCCGAGATAGGGGACAACCAGAGGTGACCACTGAGGCTTCCCACCTCAAAGCAGAGCCAGTTTTGAGTAGTTCTCCTCTTGGCTGCTTGAAAAATTCCTACTCCAAATACCTTTGCTATTTGTCCATTATTGATAGCAGAGCATAGGACTTCTGGTGAGAGTAGATTTTACACTTGATTTATGGTGATCATGTCAACACTCTCTCCATTTCTCTTCAACTTTGATCTCCAAGGTAATTAACTCATACACTTGGCAGAAAAATTCCTGGGGAGGGGAAGACTGCTTTCTGGCACTGGTTCTGCTATTTTATCTGTAAAAGACTGTTTAAAAGCTTAACTTTATAAACGCTATTTCACCGGCAGTGTGGGGTGGCCACAGAAGCACATTATATGTCCTGATCCAGACAAAACACAACGTGAAGCTACAAATGAGAGCTTGAGTGGTGTTTGCTCCTCTATACCAGCATTCATTAAATTACTAAGAGCTGGGATCAGTTCCTAATTCGGAATGAGACATCTCTTTGACCACACCCCTTCTAAGACATTAGTGAACCAAAACGACATTCTGACCGCCCTTCCCATGAGGGTTAAGTTCAGCCAAAGGTGTTTGCTCCTCTATACCAGCATTCATTAAATTACTAAGAGCTGGGATCAGTTCCTAATTTGGAATGAGACGTCTCTTTGACCACACCCCTTCTAAGACATTAGTGAACCAAAACGACATTCTGACCGCCCTTCCCATGAGGGTTAAGTTCAGCCAAATTTTATATTCTCCTTTCATCAAACTCACTGAAGAGTGACCCTCTAGACCTCTTGCTCTCCACCTGCCCGCATCAAAAGCGGACAGAACTTGGATCACAGAAGAGCTCATCCTCATTCTGTGGGGTCCATGCGACATGTACAAAGTGACTCTGGTGGTCCTCTGGCTGGGCTGGATGGGAAAGGATGAGATTTGCCCACTCTTAATCGATTTAGATGCTAACAGGGAAGACAAATTAGGAAGACCAAGAGCTACTTCCCGGAACCAACCTATAAACTCCTATTAAAAGGAAGGAATTGTTAGACTCAACCCTAACATAATTAAGTCACTCTCTCTTGTTTTCCTCCAAATCTTCCCAAAGTCTTCCAAAATCCTACATCAAAGGCATGGAGAGGTGGGGACATTTTGCATTCCCTCCTTGCCTAGGTTTTCAGATCTCAGTGGTTATATTAGAGGTCGGAGGAAGCAAAGAATGCATTCTTAGCCATTTGTTAAGATACAGGCTGTATGTCGCACCTAACTGAGGAGCACAGTGCAGTAGCTGCATTGTCTCGCTATGCCTGGTCATGAGGAACAGCAGCTCTAAGCTGCGAACTCCAGTCGAGAAATAATTTAAGATTCTGAGAAAGCCCTGAAGGGCACCAGCTTCAAAGGAGAAGTCAGGGCTGCATTTGTGGGCTTATCTCTCAAACCTCTTTTGATAACATCCCAGATGCATATCATGATATATGGGTTGTCATAGTGATGGAGAAGAAAAGGATGGGGTTGCAAAACATCCTCCTTGGGACTGAATAGAACCTTCGCATAACCTGCTCTTAAGAGACCAGGCAGGCTGGTGCATACCGAGGTGGACTACTTACTGGCTTGCCAGATTCTGTGAGTCAGACCATATCTCTGTTTTTGCCACTTTGCCCTGAGATCTCAAGGGCGGTGGCTCCAAAAGGAGTGGATTCAGCAAAGGAAAAGGTGTTTACAGAGGAGGTGGGGAAAGGGTTTCTGGGAGTAATAACTGCAACAACCTGAGAAATGCATGAAACATACTTCAGTAATGACCATTTAGATTGATCTAAATGCAAATTCAGCAAAGGGGTCTTGAGAGAAGGTACATTTTGAATCAGGAAAATGTGGGAGAATTACTAGGAAGAAGCATGGGAAGAGAGAGGATGAGGCATGAACAGAGGAGGGAAAGCGTATCCATTTGTGGTTGCGTGTAGGGACACTAGACAGTCTTGGCCCACTGAGAAATGACATGGCAGTGGTCAGGCTGACGTGGCAGGGTCAACAATAAGGGCACTCTGGAATAAGCAAACCATGTGGGAAGTTTGGCCATGAGAAGAGGAAAAGGTGGACCGGGGCAGCAGCCTGGGGATGGGTGGCTGAAGGCCAGCAGGAGAGGAGGGACACAGCACTGGGCAGTGGGCTCTGCAGGATGACCTGGCCGCTGGGAGGAGTCTTGCAGAAAGCAGGAGGCACACCAGCTCATTTATACTAGTTAAACTCGAAACCCATTATGTTTCTTATATCAGGAACTCTACAATGAAAGAGCTGCAGTGCAGACAAGGGGCAGATCCTGCTCCAAATGGAGTTGTTACCCAGGCATCCGGTTTGTGTCAGGGTCAGCACAGATGCTGACCAGAGGCCTCTGTGTCCATGAATGTGGGATTAGAGAAATAGAGTGGACACGATGATCGTGATATAGCCACCAAGAGAAGAAGGGCAGGAACCTGGGTTTCCATCCCCAAGGATCCTCAAAGACAGAGTGAACACTACCTTTTCTGAAAGCAGATACCCACTGACCACAGGGACATAGTCAAATTCCCAGTGATGCCCCCCCCCCCCCCCCCCCCCCCCCCCCCCCCCCCCCC